ACACCCCTTTCCTTCCTTCCTTCCTTCCTTCCTTCCTTCCTTCCTTCCTTCCTTCCTTCCTTCCCTCCTTCCTTCCCCTTTCTTACATGAGTTGAAACAGTATGAGGCCCTCAGCAGATGCAGCTGCCCAATTTGGACTTTTCAACCACCAGAAACACAAGCCAAATAAACCTTTTGTCTTCATAAATTACCCAGCCTCAGATATTCTGTCATAGCTACACAAAATGGACTAAGACAAACTGTAACTTCTGAAATGTCAACTCCCAGAACTTCTTAGGGCTTGTCGATCACTTGATTGAAAATCTAAATTTGAATGCTAAATGAGAGAAAGTTAAAAGATGCTCAGTTGATATAAGGAGAAATATGATTACATCAGAATATGCACCTAATGCAATTAAAACTGCAAATAATATGGAAAGAAAAATACACACATGGGACCCCTGGAAATGATATTTTAAGATACTTATCATCTAAATTAGAGTAGAACCACCTGGGGTTTGGTAGAAGCCCATATATTGGATAAAGTGAGGCACACTCTAGGAACAGCATAACATGCAACTAATTATTCACAGTTATTTATAAAATAATTTCTTCACAAATTATTATAAATTGTGAAGAAGAATGAATACCACAGGAGAAAAAGAAGGAGGCAAAAGAGAAGAAAGGGAGGTGGGAGGGAAAGAGGAAAGGAGAAGAAGAAGGAATCTTAGGCATAACTTATATTGCGTTGATCCTAGAACAAAACGAGACCAATTCACCTCAGAGACAAATTCCAGATTCCATCTTGGGCACTATGCTTGTATGTGGTGGGTCCAGTAGTTTGAGAAATACAGTTGATACCCACAGGGATTTGGACATATTGAAGTACAGCCTAGAGCCTCTCTTGACGTGACTTACCTGCCTCAAACACGGACAGACAGCAAATGGAGAAAGCTCCACATTTCCTTGTTCTTGCTATAATATAGCTGGGATTATGTTCCATATGTATTTGCTTGTTTTTATCGTCAATTTTCTCTTTCAGGACAGGGACATTTTCTCTTCGTCTCAGTCCTGAGGCCCAAGTCTAGGTCATGCAGACACACAGCAGACACTATTTTTAAATGAGGGATTAAATAAATGAAATGAGTGTGCAAGCACATGGCAATCTGGTGAGTTTGAGTATTTTCTTAATGGTTAAATTCAAGAAATTATAATTCATCCGACTAAGTTAAATTCATAGCTATTCTTTCATGTGAATCCTAGAATAATTTCTGCTTTATTATGAGATTGAGAGTTTAAAAAGTCCTCTTACTTAGATTTCTAAATTCACAAAATATATTAATCTTAGAGATGTTTATCTTCAGGATTTGGGAATAAGATATCAGAATTCCCTGGAATACTCAGAAACTCCTAAAATCATTTTACACTGTATTTTTCATAATGCTATTTCCATCTTTTACAGTAATAATTGTTTACAATATTAATAAGCAGCAAATATTTTTAAAACTAAAATTTTAGTGGTTTTTCTATTATAAAGACATAATAAAAATAAATGGTTTATCATTATTATGAACTGTTATGACAAGATTATTTATTTCAATAACACATAAAAATAACTTCAATCTTACGAGGACATTTGAAAATAGAAAACATTAAAAGAAAAACTATTAACACAAAACAAATATCAATAAAAATCATTTAAAATTGAAAGATACTAGAAAAACCTTCCTTGTTTCAAGGTAATTCTTAAAGTTTTAAAATAAAACATGAGTTGTTCTATCTAATAATTTTGACCTTGCTTTGTGATAAATTTTCTAGAACAAGAAGAGGTTTGTTTTCTATTTTGTTTTACTCATTTATTTTTCAAAGATGAAAATATTTTTGTCTTCTTGCCCTAATTTTGGTTCTATCATTGAGAATGATATTGCTCTAACCAGTTTAGACTTTAGATCAACTTCTGATTTTAAATAGCAGTATTTCACAATAGTCTCTCTGCATGTACTTCCTCGGTTAAAAAAACTAGTGCCCATGAGGAATTTTCAAACACTGCAAAACACCAGCAAACAGAGTCACATAAAACCCAGGCTGACAAGCACTACTCGGAATCAGAATTGCCAACTTAAGCATGTACTTTGCTTTCAATACTTACTCATTGTAATGCGATTCATAGGATAAAGTCTACAGTGCATATCAACTTATTAATACTTGTTTTATTTTAGGAATGACCAACCTTGAGAGTGGATCAAGTGCTATGAACAAGACAATTGGAGCAGGGTCATTTTCCTCTGTCCCCTTCCTAAAATGTTGTCCTTTAACTCTATCTCCACTTCCAACTCAGAGTCAATGGATTCCTTAACCAACTGATGTCTCTGTTGATTGCTAAGCATTATTTCTCATAGGATATGATGCTGCTCTTTCCTGTTTTTCGAATTTCTTGATGTTTTTCAGAATGAGGGACTCTTAAAAACATAAATTTCCCAAGACATACTAGGAATAAATTTCCACCTAGAAACATGACACTCACCTCACTGTATGTGACTCCATAAAAGCCTTGGTATTGTACTTTGAAACAATTACCTGGATGGGGGAGTTCTTTCTATGTAATGAATATTTGTAAGCGGTTATTTTGAAATAAAGTGAAGATGTATGTTCTTTTGAATGAAATTCAGTATCTGTTTCATGTATGATATTTTATTTTCTCTCCAAGCTGCACTTTGGTTTGTAAAGAGATGAGTCAATTTTATGCTTCAATCTTAAATTATTCAGATGTTTGCAAAGATTCAAACTTTTCCATATTTTATGTTCACATTTTGTAAGCTCTTACATTGTGAAAATAAGTATTTGGTAGCTATTAAAATATAGGTAAAATAGGTAAATGTATCTCCAATGTCAAACACTGGTAAATGAAAGGGCTGAATAATAGCAAATTTATCTTATTAATACTTTAACAAAAGATTCTCATTCCATTTAATACAAAAGATAGAACATGATTTTTATAGCTGCTCAAAGAGAGAATATTGTACTTTTATTTCTGGCTTAAAATAAGCCTTTGCTATTCCTTTTCTGTTTGTTTTCTTTTACTCCCTTTTGTTAGTGAATATCTTAACAAAATATCTTTAGGAATTCTTAGAGTTTGGGTCATTAGGAATTCTCCCAAATCCGATCATTGCTTTGTTGTTGTTGTTGTTGTTTTTCTGTTGTTGTTTGTGTTTTTTTTGTTTTGTTTTCTACTTTATACAACATGGCACTTGGAACAATGCAGATACCTGCTTACCCAGAAGCTTGTTCTGACAACCTTCTTATTTGAAGTCCCAGGAAATATAGATAATTCTTCTGACTCTGGTTGCCAAAGAATAGCCAAAGCTAGCAGCAGTGTTTCTTTTATGACATTATGTTCTTAGAGAAAGCACGAAGGAGAGACCCTGCCAGATAAACTAAGGTCAAAGCTGAAATTCTTGTTAGAACTCTGTTCAAGAAAAGCCTCTGTAAGGTTTGGTGCAAGTGATTATTAAATCTTCCTGTATCCATGGATGTTGGAAATGGTGGAGGATGAGAGTGGAGGATTCTTACAGATTCAGAATAGATTCAGCGTAGCGGGCTCTACCAAGAAGCACAAGTTTTACAATACTTTAGAGTCTTCTGAATATCCATTATTGCTGAACTCCACAAAGCTACCTCCAGCCCCAATGACCCGTATTTGTTCCGCAGTTGTCTGTGTTGGACTCTGAGCCACCCAGACTCTTTCTGCACTTCAGGCTGAGGATGCAGACTTGCCATGATAGTGCCTGGAGCTGGTTATAGGTCTATGCCAGGAAGAGAAGGGCTAAGCCCTGCCTTCCACACCCAGTCTATTCTGACAGCCTACTATTTCATCCTGTATGCTTTACCTGGGCCAACCTCTGAAGAAGTCATTGGGTTGCAAAGGAGATTTCAGACAGCAAGAGCTACTCATCAAGGAATCTGAAGGCTCTATAACCACCTGTTGCCAACTCCCACCCCAACTCCATCTCTAAGATAGAGAGGTTAGATTAGGCAAAATCTAATCCACATCATACAACTCTGTATGATGCAATTAACCAGTGATTCTGTGATCTCCCTATTAACAAATTTATGCAAATAGGATTCAAAGTAAAAGACTCACCAAAACAATCAGAAATGTAGCTTATGAAAACAACATAGGACAAGTACTTTTATATGGAGTCTAGGTGCTTTTTAAAAACAAGTTCGTTAACAAATTTTCATTTTACATTTTCTCCAAACTGTTGTTCAAAGACTAAAAGCTCAATATTGGCACCACCATTTTCTGGAAGTCAGGAAGGTGCTAGCCACTACTCATGGCCTATATTCTTCTGTAACTTTATGTAAATTTGGAATTTACCCTGAATTCCCTGCCATCTCATTCCCTGCTTTGGGCCTAGAAAATATAGGTTACCAAAAAGCCTATGGCCTATCCCTCATGACTGTTGGGAAGGCAATGTCAATATTTCCATTGCATATGCTATTCATATCCAATAGCATCTGTTTCACTTTGGATGCTAGGTTGTAGTTCTGAGGAGTTTAAAATAATAATAAAAGGCTTAACCTGTCCCAAGGGCTTACAAATGTAAGGACATTTAGCTGAAAGGAGCACACAAGATATGGAACTTGAAAACCAGCTTATTTTGTTTCTCTCCTCAATGGTAAAATGACATGTGTCATTTGTGAAAATATGTTTTTATCATCTGCCATGTTTTGTGTTCTGTTTAGTTGGTGCTTGTACAGTCAGAATCATATTTTTCCCTTATGGGGGAGAAAGGGCATAAAAACTGAAGTGATGAGTTTTAAATAAATAGTAGTTTGGGAATTTAAGCATGACACTGGCCCACATTTACAAAAGTACATTGTCTGCGTAAGTCAGTAAATGGGATGAATATTTTTAAAGGCATCATGAAAAGCCAATATGCAAATAATCTGAGCAATTGTAATGGCACCTGTGACTGGGCCAGTGGAAGAAAATAGACAGACACATTTCACTTTATTATGCATCAGTATAAAGAACTATCTTCACCAGCACCAATATAAAACACACAGAGAGGCATGCACGAACAGGTGAGTCAGTGGTAGTCTTCATATGGAGTCTTGCCTCTTCCCTTTCTTTCTACAATTTCATTCCTTTGTTTGTGGCTTATTTTCAGGTGATCCAGAGAAGGGAAGATCTGCAAACAGCATGTCAAATTTCATAGTACTAATGGATACATTGAAATAGACAGAGGAAATTTGTTGCAGAGTTTGAACTAAAATCAGATTTTTTTAAAGGCTGATGTAACTATGCTTTAATCTAACCTTGCTTAAAATCTTTCAGAGGTTCCTTGTTAATCTGATAAAATCCCAAAATCAAAGCCCACCTCTCCAGCCTCATTTTGCTCAGCACTTCTCTGCCTTCTCTATTCTCTAACCACACAGAATGTTTCCTATGCTTCAGATGTGCTCTCGCATTATTAACAACTTTTCACATGTTGTGTTCTTGGCCTAGAAAACTGTCTTTTATTTTTGATTGGGTGATACTCATCTCATGAGTCCCTGTTTAAACATTATTTCCTTAACAATGTCTTTGCTAACCCTGGAGTGAGTTACATTCTCTTGCAATATGCTCTTCTTTGTTAAGACTCATCACATTTGTCACTAGTTATCATTATTTTTCCCATGTGCATCCTCCCTGCTGGCCCATAAGCAACTGGAAGGCTGGAATGACGCTTGTAGTATTACAATTATGTCTTCCACTTTATAGGCAGTGCCTCAGATCTATTATATATTAAATTAAAACTGAGTAATTGATTGTTAATTGCTTGGTCATGGTATCTTGCTTTCAATGATTATTTCTGTATTGTATCATACTTCCCCAATATAAAATACATTTTACAAATATATTGCTCTATAAATGTTTACCGTGTGTTGTGACTAAAGATGATTTGAGATGGTCCTTTCAGTAATTAAAATTACTGCATCTTCCAAGTAATGCATGGTGGAGGAAGGTACCAATTTGAAAGGGAAGCATTACTGCAGGGCTAGGCAGTTATTTTAAGAGTTTCTTCCTTTACAGTCGTCATTTTGTGGTAGGGATGAGGGCAAATACAGATGATGTCATATTGTCGTATCCCTCCTACTCAGTTCCAAATTAAATCCTACACATAAGAAAAATTTGTCTGGCAATATTTTAATACCACTATTTAGAAAAGCAATGTTGAGTCTCCTAAGTTCATCAGCTCTCAAAGCTAACTTCTCATTTGTTTCTCTTGTTTTTTGTGGTCTTTTTCTTCTCAGATTAGCTGCCTACATTCTTCCTGATGATGAATCTACCTGCTTCTTACTATATACTACTTGAGTAGCTAAGCTCAGAAGAAAGCAAATTCTAACCTATTCTTCTTGTACAACCAACCCACCTCACACCCTTTTTCCAACAACATTACCTATGACTGCTAAGCTATGGGCATGTCTGGATATCTAATTGAAGTGCAAAAGGTTCCAATGTCTAGAAAAAAACAGATTATGTCTAATCTCATTAGCGTTTTTCTGGCTTTTAAAAATTTAAGCCTCCTGTTCAAATGATATGATGTTCTGACAAGTTCAAATTGTTTATCTCTTACACCAACTGGGAAAAATATGAATTCTCAAGTATCTTATATTTTCAAAAAGTCTCAAATAGTTGACATCATCCAAAAAGTTTAGTTAATCTATTTACGGTCATTGTACATACAAAATGGTCTGACTGAGGCACACAGGATGACTCCAGTAGAAATAAAAGGTAATGAAGGGAGCGACTGGGGATGTGATGAGTGACTTGAAAATTTTAAATGTGAGACTTCATCATTGCTGTTATCATCAGTGTCACGACTCAAAGTGGCTGCTGCTAGCCCCATGCTAGGTATCATGTATACAACCAGTTGTGCCTTACATTGTCAAAAGTGCCTAAAATTCCATATGGTGAAGTGACATTTTTAGTTTTTTAAAACTTTACAAAATATTACACATTTTCTGAGTTATTATGTGTATATACACTTACACACACATATATATGTTGTTTACAAGTCATTATGCCTGATTTTTCTGGGGACTGAGCCAAGTTTGGCTTAATTTTTATTTATTTGTATGTATCATGTCCTAGGTTGTTGTTGGTTTTTTTTTTTTTTTTTTTCTTAATTTTTATTTATTTGTATGTATCATGTCCTAGGTTGTTGTTGGTTTTTTTTTTTTTTTTGAGATGAGGTCTTGTCGATTAGCATTATCATATATGGTATCATATATGTTCAGTTAAAACTGAACAGAAATAAATAAAGAAAAAATATAGTTCCATCAGTAAGAGTGATGATGTGGCATAAGATAAAAATCAAGTGGGAGGACAAACATACCTGGAACCAGCTAAAAGATGGCCCTCACTTTCATATTGCACCAGGGAGCCAATCTTTAAGCTGTATCGTTCAGGTGTGAAAAGAAAGATCATTAGGTTCTAAAGGACCAACTTCTTCTTAAAAGCAGGTTCAGATTCTAGCTCAGCCCAGTCAAGGAAGACTCAGTAGGCCTAATTCTTATTCTATCCCTTTGTACTCCCATTTACCGTGCTGATGTACAAAATGCTCATTCGCTTTGAAAGATCTGAGCTGCCCTAGGAAATGGTGCAGGGAATCTAGATACTGGGTCACATGGCCTTACTAACTAATCTTGGAGAATTCCAATGATATTAAGCAAGTAAAGTTTCCAGGAGATCAAAACCTCTTTCATTAAAATCATAAAAAGCAAAACCTACAACGATGGGGCATTGGGAAATTACCCTCTTGAATTGTCAGAAATAGATAAATAGCACAGCTAACTAATCTCTAGTTTTTTGAACTGGATCCTTGTGCCTTTCTCTCATTAGTTAACCTCGTGCAACTATACCAGGCCGATGGCCTCAGAATTCTTGTTAAAAGAGATCATTTATTGGTACCAATGTCGTAGTTGACTGTAGCTTGGCTAGGCCGGATGTAATTGTCAGACTCACACTGACTTAACCAGGGGTCCTGTCCTCTGTCCACGTGATTTAGAAAAGAATGGAAGGATAAATGTCCTATATTGTGATCTAAGGGAGCGAACGTCTTCATCATTGTTTCCTGACAAAAATTACCCAAAGTCAATATTCTTATTTAAAAAACAAACAAACAAACAAACAAACAAACAAAAAGCCGAGGTCTTGCTCTATCACCCAGGCTGGAGTGCAGTGGTGCAATCACAGTTCACTGCAGCCTTGAACTCTCTGGCTTAAGTGATCCTCCTGCCTCAGTCTACCAAGAAGCTACCACTACAGATGAACCTTTTTTCATGTAGTGATGGGGTCTTGCTATGTTGCTTATGATGGTAACGAACTCCTGGCCTTAAGCAATCCTCTTGCCTGGGCTGAAAGTCAATTTTTGATGTAGTAGTTCTAGAAATTTCCCTGATTTATTTTGTCATTTTTGTCATAAAAGCTAAAGGAAAAAAAACTTGTGTTCAAAAATGGCTTTAACCATTTTTTCTGCCCAAATTAATTGAAATTAATTACATCATTCTTCTACTGCTTTGAGAGTGAAGACTTGGGACTAAATGGGAGAGAAAAAAACGCTTTTATGCTGCATTTGTTTTCTGAATTAATATATATTTTGGGGGTATTACAGAGACATAATGAATCATCACAACTGTAAGGATTTTATAAGAAGAATGAAGGAGTACCTTGATTTCTATGCAAATTAAAGGAGGAAATTGTTCTAATATAATAAATTATTATCCAAAAAGAATTTTTACTATTCTTTTCAGAGATTTATGACCAAAAGACCATGAATGTCATGACAGACTACTATCAAATGCATGAATAAAGTGAAATCATAACTTGTAAAAACTATCATGATCATTTTGGTTGTGAATGACTGAAAATCCTGCCTCAACTAGCTTAAGTATAAAGGGTATGTTTTAGCCCAGGTAACTGTAAGGTCCAGAGCAGTACAGTCTTTGGGCAAGTCTCATGCTCTGCTTTCTCTGTGGGTTGGCTCCACAGTCTCACGGTTTCTCCTTCTGTAGTTGTGGGTTCTGAAACAGCAGTTCTAGAACTAACATCCTCCTAAGTTCATGTCTGATGGCAAAAAAGTGTGTTCTTCAAAAATCTATAACTCTTTGGCAGTGATCGTCTCATTACCTCTCTCAGGCTTAATCTTTATGGCTAGGAAAATGTAATGTCCTATGTCACATGCTCCACCCTTAGATTCTCGGCTAAGACACTTCACTAAAGCCGCACGGTCTGAGAATGGCGAGCAGGGTAGCTCTCCATAGGAAAATAAAGGCATGGTTACCAGAAAGTGAGCAAATGAATTCTTGGTGGTATGAAAAAGAAACAGATGCTCATATATTATTTTTTTCCTTCTATGAATGATTTAGAATGCAAATCAGAAGGAAACATCATAGTTTTTACTCCCCCAATTCCCAGAGGTATATTCCATTAATATTTTATTTTATTTATTTATTTTTTTTACAGATACCTGTATTTTTCTCCACATGATCTAATTTGCTTTGTTTAAGCAATGGACTTGTTTTGTTTTTCCACACAGTTATCAAAATACACATATTCTTGGATAATTTAATTTTTCTTTATTTAACACTGTTCTGTGAAGACTTTTAGGAGTCTCAACGTAGTCCCCATGCTAATTCCTCCCAAAGCAAAAATTCAGATCAGGGAAGCTGATACTTAAGCTTATTCTGTCTTAGGGAAAAGTGTACTTGGGTGAAGAGGATGCAGAAATGTCTGTCTGACAATCATATATACTTAACACAATTGGGAGGATACTCTTGATATAGACTCCCCCTTAGGCAACATTATCTTGTGATCATTCTTTGTATCTGTCTCTGGATGATATTTGATAACACAGATTTTAATGGCAGTTTGTATTCCTTAGTCTAATGTTTCATAATTTATTTGGCTAATCTCTACTATGACACCTTAAGTATTACAATTTCAACTACTATATATGCATAAAATAACATCAATAAATGTTCTTGAATATAAATCTTGTTTTGTGTCTCTAATTATTTCCTTAGGATATATAATTCAAAACAGAATTACCAGGTAAGATGGTCTAAAATGTTTTAGGTTTTTTCATACATATTGCCAAAATGCCCTCTAGAAAGATGGTTCCATTTATATTTATAATCCCACCCTTGCTAACACTTAGTATTAGAATTGTTTTATTTTAAATTTAGAAATAATATATACACATGGTTAAGAAATTTAGAGTCCCATTATTTGATTTAGAGTCCCATTATTTTGATAAATTCTGCTTTCAGTGCATCTGCTGATTAACACTGTAAATCTGTGTAACATGTTTTTAACTCCACTTCCTGATTTATCAAATTTCAATTTCAATTGTCTTTATTAATGTCTGTGCTATAAAATAAGTAAAGTAGCTGAATTAGTCACGGTTGAATTCTCCAGAGAGACAGAACCAATATGATGTATAGATAAGGGAGATAGATAGATGAATAGATGATAGATAGATAGATGGATAGATTATAGATAGATTAGATAGATAGATAGAAGATAGATAGATAGATAGATAGATAGATAGATAGATAGATAGACAGACAGAGGAGAGGCAATGTATTAGAGAATTGGCTTACTTGATTGTCAGGCTGAGAAGTTTCACAACAGGCTGCAAGCTGGAGAATCAGGGAAGCTGGTAGTGTGGCTCAGGACAATTCTGAAGGCCTCAGAACCAGGGAAGCCAATAGTGTAACTCTCAGTCCAAGGTTGAAGGCCCAGGAAACTGGGAAGCCCACTGGAGCAAATTCCAGAGTCCAAAGGCGAGTTCTGATATTTAAGGGCAGGAAAAGAAAGGTATTCCAGGTATAGAAAAGACAGAGAGCAAACATGCCATTCTTCTATCTTTCTGTTCTATTCAGGCCTCACCTGATTGGATGTGAGGGTGGGTCTTCTTTACTTAGTCCACTGATTCACATGCCAATCACTTCTAGAAGCCCCCTCCCAGACACACCCGGAACTAATGCTTTACCAGCTGTCTGTATACTTCTTCATCGGTCAAGATGATACCTAAAATTAACCATTGTGGTAGTTTGGCATACCTATATTATCTCCTCCCCTCAACTTTTTCTCATTTTTTAAAACGTTATTATATCATTATAATTTGATCTTCTAAAATGAAAAGTTTTTACTTTTTTTTGAATTTCATCAAATTTAGGCAGAATCCTTGATCTCTGAGTAAATTTGTTCACAATCACTTCTCCAACTCTTCCCCACCTTACGTCCTTTTTTTCTCTCTTTCCTCTGTCAACTACAGCATCGCTTCTACCCTAGAGAGGGGTGGAATCTATCAGATGAATAGTGAATAGAATCTATCAGAAGAAGATGGCAGATGCTGCAACCTGGATATAGTGAAAAATCACAAGAACAAGGCATGAAAAGCATAATGTAACATTACTAAAATAATATTGAAAGTCTTATTTTATTGGTAGCAGGATTTCTCTACCTCTATACTATTGGCATTTTGGAACATATAATTGTTTGTTGTCAGGGACTGTGATGTGCATTGTAGGATATTTTGCAATGTCCCTAGCTCCTGCTCAGGGACCCTCCCAGCTGTGACAACTAAGACATCTCCAGGTACTGCCCAGTGTCCCTGTGCATATTGTCCCAGTGGAAAGCCGCTGTTCTATGGGTATTCCCCAGTAGAACTTTGTCTGCACTGCTGTTTTAATTTCAGTGGGAAGAGTGGTCTGACCTGAAGGCACAATGGGAGCGCATGAGATTTGCAGGGCAAGTACAGATGATACAGTTACACAGTGGGTGATCTAGCCGGGATCTTCTTGTGATGAGACTGTGAGTTTTAATCTTAAGGGGCAAATTTGTGCT